ACTGACTGTACACTCCACCTTGACTATGAACTACCCCTGACTGTAGACTCCACCTTGATTATGAACTTTCCCTGACTGTAGACTCCATAGACGCCACCTTGACTATGAGCTACCCCTTGAACCTTGACTGTACACTCCACCTTGACTATGAACTACCCCTGACTGTACACTCCAAACTGTAGACTTCCTTAATTGTGAACTATCCCTTGACTATGAACTACCCTTTGAACCTTTACTGTAAATTCCACCTTTATTGTGAACTACCCGCTGACTGTAGACTCCACCTTGACTATGAACTACCCCTTGAACCTTGACTGTAGACTCCACCTTGACTATGAACTACCCCATGAACCTTGACTGTAGACTCCACCTTGATTATGAACTTTCCCTGACTGTAGACTCCATAGACGCCACCTTGACTATGAGCTTCCCCTTGAACCTTGACTGTACACTATGAACTACCCCTGACTGTACACTCCAAACTGTAGACTTCCTTAATTGTGAACTATCCCTTGACTATGAACTACCCTTTGACTATAGACTCCACCTTGACTATGAACTACCCCTGACTGTACACTCCAAACTGTAGAATTCCTTAATTGTGAACTATCCCTTGACTATGAACTACCTTTGACTATAGACTCCACCTTGACTATGAACTACCCCTGACCATAGACTCCACCTTGACTATGAACTACCCTTTGTACCTTTACTGTAAATTCCACCTTTATTGTGAACTACCCACTGACTGTAGACTCCACCTTGACTATGAACTACCCCTGACTGTACACTCCAAACTGTAGACTTCCTTAATTGTGAACTATTCCTTGACTATGAACTTCCCTTTGACTATAGACTCCACCTTGACTATGAACTACCCCTTGAACCTTGACTGTAGACTCCACCTTGACTATGAACTTCCCCTGACTGTAGACACCACCTTGACTATGAACTACCCTTTGAACCTTTACTGTAAATTCCACCTTTATTGTGAACTACCCGCTGACTGTAGACTCCACCTTGACTATGAACTACCCCTTGAACCTTGACTGTAGACTCCACCTTGACTATGAACTACCCCATGAACCTTGACTGTAGACTCCACCTTGACTATGAACTACCCTATTGCAACACAAGACCTCAATGCATGCTGTTTCATCCAAAGGAGCAGTCTCCACGTCCAACAGTGGGATTTGAAACCACAACATAAGAACCAACCCCTTACTTGGCAACTCTAGAAAATTTCTAACCACTGCACCATGCATGCGACAGCACAGCAATTTAGAAGATCCATAAACTGACTCAAAAAAACTTAAATTGTTGCCCAAAAGCAAGAAAATGGTATCACTAGGACCATCAAAATAATTGGTCTAGTATCTGTCTATTTATCATAATTATCATGAAACTATTAACAATAAAATATACTTTACATGCATTTCATACTCTATACTATACCTCTCATACAGGCCTATCTTGGCCTTTGAAGAACATTAAAAAAGGTATTTTTTGCTCATTTTTAATCATCTATTATTTACAAGTCTACCTATCATTAAATCAATGAAAGTTCTATTTGTGTAATAAAAAAGTGTTCTTGTGCAGTTCTCTTATTCTATAAACCTTTCAAATACATGTATATTATTGTCCCTGCCATTGCAAAAGTGGGGGGGGGGACAATATAAATCTCATCCGTCTGTACTTCTGTCAATCTGTAGTTCTGTCCATCACAAAAACTTTAAATTTGGTCATAATAGTAAGATTCTCAGCCAACCTTGGTCTTTCAGTCAGGTGATGTAACCTAATTAGCGTCTGAAACTTACACAGCTTTTCATTCATGGCTGAAATATAGATTTCGGCAAACATCAACAAGTTTAGAGATAATACAATGAAAGTTTGTTGTACGGCAAGTGGTGGGGCTTAGTCACATTTGGTGATGTGCCATATACCCTGGAACTAAAAGTGAGAGCCTGCCAGGGATGATCCTGGGTTGGGGTCTTTAAACCAAGACCTTTAAGAACCTTAATGTGGCAGTCAGCCCAGTTAGATCGCCAGTGACCGGATAGATCAGTTGGTTATTTGAGACCTGACCAGAGATTCAGGGGGCCACGGTTTGAATCTCAGTCTGGTCAGCATTGTTTTTCTCCTCTCCCATAAAAGGAAAAGATCCGAAGGGGACATCAGATCATTAGAGTGAAATTACTCCTACTCTCAGCATAGCTCTATCATGTCTATTAACAATACTCATTTTCTTATACTTATATTGTCTTCACTTTTTTATAGAATAATGTTTAGCAAAAAGTATAATAAATGTTAGTACAGTAAGAAAAAATGTATGTTAAGAGAAATTTTATTTGATCAAGCCGTTCAATTGAATTTCAGGTTAAAATGTAATTTCTTGAATATCTTAAACAATTGTCAATCTGTCATTAAACACTTACAACATGTGTACAAACTAATGAATTATTTGGATTTTATAGTAATTTTTAAATGGATTTCAAATTTAATTTAAAGTGTAAAAAATAGATAGGTCAATTTTTCCCCAAATTCATTTTCTCTGATACTTTGATCTTTTGCTCTAAGATACAAAATCTCTTCTTTATATGATATGAAAGAAATTCGATCACACATTTTTGTCCACATAGTTTGAAATATGGTCTGTAAGAAAGTTGTGAAATCAGACATTCAACGTTTTTCAACATTATCAATTAATTTATTGAAAACTTGCATGATGCTGTTTATAAAGACAATATTTTTGTTACTGGTACTTGAATTCAATAAGTTTAGTTATAATGATACTGGTAAATTTGAATATTAAGATATTATGTAAAAATAGAGCATACATATAAGTGTCAGAATTGAAAATAATTCACAAGTAACTATGCTACACATAAAGTTATCTCATGAGAAATTGTATAATTCAATTTTTACAAAAAAAAAATCAACAGAATGATTCCAATGGGTCCCAAAATTGTGTCAGATTAAGGAAAATTGAACTGATAGTGTTAGATATTTCATCACAATATTTTATCTTTAATACTTTTTATCTTTAACCTCTTGATATGACATTGACCTTTACGGTACATTAAACATCTCGTAATATATGTGTCCAAATATCAGCCCTCTACTATATATGGAACATAAGTTACACTGCATTTCGTAACAGACTTACAGTCTGTACTGCATTTAAACAGCATTAAGCCATTCTAAAATGTAAGCTACCAAGTGACCGATACATGTATATAGAATTCTCTGATTTTTTTCCCCACAAAATATGTCAATTTTTGCTTAAGTAGCGCATAAAATATCTACCAAACTAAGCGATTTTGTCGTCAAATACTGGGCAAGTTCTTTTATAGTTGTCTTACTGGTAGCTTGTCTAGCATTGTAGTGCATATGCAAGATGTTTTTTTTTTCACTTTACTATCTGGTTTCATCTCTTTGTATGATATATAATTTTATATTGTGTGTGGACTCTAGACTCAGATCATGCTGATAGATGTTTGAAGTTATAAATCTAAGTTTATCATCACTGTAATGAAAATGAACTGTCTATCCCAACATTAACAATATTTCAGTGACATTGCATCTTACTGAACGGTGTGTCGATTTACCCAAATGGAGCCAAAGATGACTCAAATGGACTTCTGTAGACTTTATATCAAAAATAAAATGCATCTACAGTGTATATATATATAAAAATAATTATTTATTTTTGCATTTAGATATTTATATTGTTGAATATTCAGAATAATGGCTATTGAAATAAATGTGTTTTGTGTTTATGACAAACATTCAAATTATTGTATTAAAAAAAAAAAATTATTCATTACAATTAAGTAAATTATTTTAAAATATATGAGTTTACCAATCAGAAAATTTCACAAAGTTATATTCTTTTTTAGTAAATCAGTACGTAGCAACAGGGGGCCGGGGGCTTGCTCCACCTCTATTTTCCAGACATAACTTTTAGTTTTACTGTATTAAAAATGTTCATTGAAAGCCCCCCTCCACCACACACACTTTCAAAAAAAAGATGCTACATCACTATAAATGATATTACTATTTTATCATAATTAAGTCCCTTTGCTTAAATCGACGCAATTTACTGAATGTCACCTATCATGGATCATCATTGAACATATACACTGTATAAATGAATCAATGTGAACAGAACTCATCTAACCAAAAACTATATGATGAAAAATGATTGAAAACTGCTCAGTTTTTAATTTATGACAGAGAATGTTAACACCTAAACATTCATAGGGAAAATCCACATTAGTCTTTGTGTACAAGAAAAAAAAAAAACTTTTCAGCATTATAGACACATTAAAACCACAATAAATAGAGGAAATTCGCGTCGCAACTTTATACTGGTTGCAAGTGGCGAGACCATAATTTAACCTTACTTGTGTCTAACATTACATTTATCGGCAAAACAAACGATAATTATTTTTATTTTATCTTGTTAAAATACTGTCTTACTTACAATAGATCGGTTTTGATTGCGAGTTTACTAATCATAATATTGTTCTCTCGAGTGCAAACAGCTGATTAAGTTGGATGCCGATCTCGATGTTTAAAAACATTAAACAGTTTATAGTACACTTCTGCTGTCGCTTTCTTTTCCCAAATAGTTTTTTTTTTCAGTCAATTAATAAATATCTAATTAAATTAGTCATATATTGCACTTCTTCTTATGTAATTTTAGAGATGAAGTATCACATGAAAGCCCAGATCAGATGCCGATCGCGATGCAATAGCGTCGAATGTCAAACACTTATTTTTCAAGATTTTGCTGAAAATATTCAAAAAACCAGAATTCTTTAACAGTCTTGGAACTTTATTACTTCGATTTTACTTCATTTTAAACACTAATTGCGTCTATATAAGGCGATTACAACTTTCTCGGGGTCTAATTATACGAGTGTCGAATTGCACGGCTACCGCTTTTTTCAGAGCGACACTGAGCACTAGCGACAGTTTTCACTGGTACAGCGGCCCACATGAGTGAAAATGCTGCTGTCAGACTACATTTGCCATTTGGTGGAAAACATCGCTGAATCGGTCAACATGATACTTACCAAAAGAGAATACCACAAGCAACTTTCTTAATAAACATTTTAGGCTATTTGTTGAAAATGTCGGCACTAGAGAAAAAGGAATATCTGGATTGTCTTGATCTGGTCAGAGATAATCTGTTGCAAGATGTATACAAAGTCAAAGGTAATTTAGTCTCCCCATCTTCAATTTGTTCGTTGCTTTTGTTCTTACGGCTTTTTCACTTATATTGTGAAGCCATCAGCCGCTTGTAGAGGGCAGCATTTTTTACTGGTGCTCAACAGTTTATTCAAACCCATGATGTAAAGGATCATTCCTTAAAAACAGTACTTAGCTAAAACACTCTGTGTCTGTGGACAAGCTCTCACCACCACAGATAAAGGTTGAGTACATCCCTTATAGTTCTAATGCAGCCCCCTTCAAAATGATTTTGAAGAATATGAAAGGAGTTGTACTGAAAATAATCTCAGTGAGATGTCGTAGGGACTAAAATATTTGGTCGGACGTCCACTACGACATGGACGTCCGACCAAATATTTTAGTCCCTACGACATCTCGCTGAGATTATACTGAAAATAACTCAAATTTATAACAAACCAAACAATATGTTTTTCAATGTGACTGTTGGGGTGAGCTCAGCTGTATCAAAAATCATAGTCGACACACTGATCAGCCACTTCAAAGAAAAGTCGCACAAGACATCTCGACTAGCTGTGAGCATAGATTTCGTCGGAGCTTACAGAGACAGTTGAGCGTGTAGTTTGAAACTATACAGACATAGTGCAATTTTTGACAAAAGTCATTGCAGAGTATTTTTTTGTTTGTTTTACATTGAAAGATTTATTTATGACCCTCTTTCTTCTTTTGTTTTGCATACAAGACTTCCAATTCGAATTGCTTCCGTTTGTCATCGCCTGCTTTCAATAAAAGATTTTGGTCCCATTTGAAATACAGTATAATTGAAATTGTCACATTATCTAAAAAAAACTATTAATTATAAAAGAAAGAATTTCAGTAGTATTCTGTCCATAACAAAAAATATTTTGCCCGCTTTATTTCCGAATTTTACGGTCAACATTTGACCTACAGAAGAAAAACCAATAGGGGCCTAACTTTGTTTTATTATGTCGTAGGAAATAGGTAATACATTCAAGTAACATCCTGTATATTTTGGTAGGTATACACAACCTAGCGTTGTTCCCTCTGGGCTTCTCACCCGCTTCAATTAAGCTCCACCCCACAGCAAACTTACCTGAGGACTGTTTGAAAACCTCGGTCTTTAATAGTGCTGGGCAAAAAATATCGATATTTCAGTATATTGCAATACAATCACAAAAAATATTGTATTTCAATACGTTTTTGTAATACCAAAATGTTTTGACTCAGGAATTCTATCATTAAAAATATTAAGAAAAGTTGTCAGAAAGTTTTTTTTTGTTTAAGCAAAACATTAAGACAGTTCTAATCTGTTGCATGGGTGTATTTCAGTATATATGTGTAATTAAGGCAACTTGATTCTTTTCCCCTTTGGTTACTTATTTAGGTATGTACATTCTACGGTAAATTGAAGTTAATATGAGAAAATGCCATTTTAATTATGTTGAAAATATTGCAATACACATCGCAATACAGTTATAAATATCACAATATATCGCAATACAAAATCTCTGGCCAATACCCAGCCTAGTCTTTAAGTATTTTACCATCAATATCTCCAATCTTCGGGTATCTCAATTTTTTTCTCAGCCCATTGAGTTTGAGATAACAAGGATTGACTGTATTTGAAAATAAAAAAAAATTTTGCAAAATCTTCCTGCTCAGTTTTACATTATGATGATGATTTTAGTCCTGATCCATTGGAATACTGCCCGAAACAATGAACTATATATTAGTTTCTTCAGCACTAATATTTGCAGGGAGGTGGACAGGTATAGCTTATATCCATGCCTCTGGATGTAGTCTATATCGGTTTACTTTTCTGAAGGGAAAACTTGTAGTCCAGACTGTCGGTGCAAACTGAAAACTTTAAAACAGTCTAAAAATGACCTTTTAGTAATTATCATTGTAGATATAATTTTACTCATGGAAACACTTAAAAACATAACATTTATTTCAGACGAAAATGTTCCAGAGGAAGAAAATTTATTAAACAAAGAGTTTCAAAAGTTATTTGAATCAAAAGACATAAAACAACAAATTGTTATTCTTAAGGAGGTAAGATTTTATTTGAATTTATAGTAACATGATATTAGGTAATAATAACTATCTTTTATCTGAGACAATAAGATTTGAAGAAATTGACAGGGTATATACATATTTATACATATATCTACTGGCTGTATTTGAAATCTGAAGGAATGCTCTTGGAGAGATTAACAGTGTGTCTGCACCCTATCATAACAAATCTAATTTAATTTTATCAAATAGAATTAAAATAAAATACCAAGGTGAAAAAAACCCACAACTCTATGTACTACTACTATAGGTTTTTATTATGAAATGAGATTATGCCTATACAATTTATGTATAATCACTTTAATTAAATTAACATTCCAGCTATGCAAAGAAACCCAGGAATGTTTTCTGGGAGAAGGCATAGGGTCAAAGATACTTTCATCTGTCACAATCTTAGTCAACATCTACCTGAATTGTCCTCCTAAACACACAGCAAAAAGGCTGTTGGCAAGGTACACAAATATCTTGGAACTATGATTTAACAGTGTATATTATGATTGAAATTGTAAACAAATCCAATTTAGCTGATACTTAGCTATCCTGGTAAGATTTTTCCTGTTTTATTCCAAGAGAGCATATTGGAGTTCTTTTGATTCCTTATATATGTATTGCATGTACAGTTTAATTGTAGTACATTCCAGAATTTTAACAATGAATTCAAAACCTTACTGTGTGAACGGATGAAAGAAGAAGTCCTAATGAAGATAACTGGTGAGGTGGGAGATCTCCTAGCTGCTCGACAAAATGTGAACATGATATACTGTCTCATGGAAAACTTTACATTAGGTGTGTACTCAAAAAGGGGATGCAAGTTTTTGATATGTCATATATACAAATTTAAAAACTCTCTCCCTCTCCTTTTTGCCCCTTCCTTAACTAAATTTATAAATACATATTTACTTATAGAGTTATGGAAAACTTTATATGCCTTAGATATGTATACAAAAAGGTGATGCAAGTTTTTAATTTAATAGACATAATGACTTAAAACTCTTCCTCTCCATCTCTCCCTTAGCGTTATTAATATATATAGGATCTCCCATGGTTTGTGGTTTGATATGATTTTTATCCAACGAGTTGTGTGTTTTTTTTATCCCCGAGCCTTGGCGAGGGGATAGAAAACACACAACGAGTTGGATAAAAAATCATATCTAACCACAAACCATGGGAGATTCTTTTTATCACATTTTTTTTCACTATAAATGGGTATTTTGTCTTTATATCTAATTCAAAGTTCCCTTTTGGTTACCTCGGACCAAATAACGTACTAAATAATATTACGCTGTATGAAATAGTTCGTACAAAAATGAAAGAATTAAAAGTATTTTAGCACTTATTTTTTTAAATACATGAATGAAAATTTGTTAAAATATATCAAATAAAGTGAAAATTGACAAACTAAGTCATTCTCTTCTTCATGTTCATGTATTTGTTTATTTACATTACGTCATGCAGCGTAGGAATACATAGTGTTGATACGAAAACGATATCACATGAGCTATATCAACGGGATAAAGGTGAAAATATGTGATAAATATTGATACATAGTTTTTCCTCTTTGCAGGGGAGCAGTGTCTTACTTTGATCTTTCTACCAGGTAAAAATTAGTATAAGAATTTTCTTCAATATATTCCCTAAGTTACTGTGTAGTGTATTATTTTGGTTGTTATAAAACTATGGTTTCATATGCTTCAAAGTATAAGAAAAGGATAGTTGACTTTGAATGATACAAACAGTGCAAATATCAATCTTTATTAGTGGCTATTTGAAAAATTTGAGACAAAGATTTAGCAATGAAATAAGCCAAAATTAGATGGCCATCAAAACAGATGGCTATACTACCACAGTATCACCATGTTTGTCCATCTTTTTTTTCAGTCCTAAAATATTTAACCAGAGCTCTGACAAAGTTTTTAGCTACTAAGAGGTATAGTTTTCAAATTTTGTACACCTTTGTGCAGCATTTACAAATGTTTTAAAATAACGAATATAAATTCAATTTTTTAGGATGTAAAATATCATTTGATACTGTGATATCACAAACTTTCATGGGGTCTTTAATAATTTTTTTATTTTTGAGGTATGACCCACAAAGTCATGTCCATCATGAAATGTAAAATGTTACATACATAATTACTCAGCAATTCATCATCCACGAAATCAAAATCCCACAAACAGCCAATATTTTTTCCTCAAACCATGACAAATTTGCCCCTCCCCCCTGAAAATATGTGATTTTACAATAGTTTAAGTTATGTGATATATTCATTGTACATGTAATGTAAAGTAAACCTTTATCATTAGTACTGACCTGTCTCCTGTGGAGGATAATGAAGTCATGCATCACTGTCTGGCCACCTTACAAGCCTCCAGTAAACTGGTCCAGAAATGTACGGGGAACATTGGAGGGGCAGGGCCTTACACACAGACAGACCTCCAATCTGTCGCACAGACGTTTATTGAAAATATAATGCTGATACTCAAATCAGGTGTGTAGGATGCCTATATTTAGGTTGTTTATTTTATGAAGCACTAAATGTAAATTAGGTTATGAAATGCTGATACTGAGGGCTACATGAATTTAATTCTCTGGTTCTCATGCCAATTTTTTTCCAAAACGAATGCGAGAGAGAGAGACATTTTGGGGGGGGGGGCATTTCATTGGCCCCTTAAATGATTCAATTGAAGTTGTTTTCTTATCACCTAGGTAACTTTAATATTGTTCTTTGTTAGATAATTTCCTGTTGGATTGTAAAACCAGTGGCAGCATGTGCCTGACCCTCCTGCTAAAGCTCACCATAGGACAGAATACCGCAGATCTGGTATAAAAACAATATAAGATAATCATTTGTGAGAAAAATTTGAAACATAAAAATAAATACAGTGTAGATTCAGAAATGTATGATAGCCTTGTACTATACAGTAAAACTCGGTTATAATGAAGTCACTGGGACATCTTCGCTACATCTGTGGAATCACAATATCTGTGTTTTTACTAAAAGAGTTTTACTGTATATGGATTTCAGATCTTGGACATTGTATTTGGTGAGGATATGAAAAGTACTCCTATTCCCGACTGGTTGTTAAGGACATCTTTCTGTAGGAGTGTTCTATCCCAGTTCTCCCCTACTTCCTGTTTGTGCTTGTGGTTTGGCATTCTGGCTCAGTTGGATGTTTCAGACTTACTAAATCACAACAAAGACAGCAAGAGTTTACTGGTGGATCTCATGCTGAACAAAATATTATCAATTGGTTCAAGGTTGGATGCTTTTCTACAACCCTTTTAAAGTTTGTGAAAAATAATGCTCTGATGTGACAATGTACAAGAAATCAAGTTTAATGTTTATCCTAAACTGAAGTGAGTAAATTGCATTTGTACATATTTTGATGTCAGAAACTCAGTTCCTTATTTAATTTGTTTTCAGAAATCTTGACACGAGTGGGAAACTTCAGATGGCACGGACTGTCCTCATGTGGACCAATAGATCTCTGTATGTCATCCTGAATGTTTTTGTTTTACATGATTTACTTATTTTTGAGAAATTGAACTGTACATGTGTATTTGTTATTTATAAACTAGGGCATGTTTGAAGTCAGATAGCTGTGGGCCTGAGGTGGTGGGGAGGTTAGTTGGTTCTGGGGAGCTGCTGCAGAGGGTACTGAAGTTTGTGTGGATGATATGGGAGGATACAACAGACGTAAGGGCTCTGTTACACTGAACTGTAAATAACATACAGATTAGTTACATGTATATCTCGCAAATAAAATAAGGAAGGAGTAAATAGATATGACCATCAATACTTTCTTTCATTCTTTGTATAAAAACTTATTTTGTATTAATATAGAATGTTCAATTTCAGACTGACAAATTGGAAATTAAAGTTGATGCAAATAGTGAATTTATACAGTTCATTTTTTTCAAGTATCTGAAGGTTTTAATACCTATTGACGTTTTTTTGTAATTGCAATACAATATTTTTGACAGGTAATAAGGTTTACTGCCAAGGACATCTTTGAATCTGTCATTAAGGTACACAAGGCTGCAACTCATGCAAAAGGTATAATAAAATCAAGAATGTGAAACTATTAGGTCAAAATAAACATGAATACAGTAAATCACAAAAATTCATGGCCAGCAAAGATTTGTTTTCTAACCTATTGGTGTAAGTCCTTAAGGCTTCTTCACTTATTCTCTTGGTCATTCCATTCACTTGTGTTGGCTTCTCTTGGCCTTACATTATACCAGGATTATTTTTAGATAGTCAAAATGTACCGGTACTTGTTGTAACTATTGTAAGACCTATAAATAATGTACATGAAATTTAATTTTCTACCACCTTGAAACCCTTATACCTGGATTATTGATAGAACAATTGTTGCAAACTTTTTTTCATATTCAGGGAGTTATTTGTACGTTTATTAGCTTAACATTGTGACAGTTTGTCTGCTATACCAATTGATATTTTTGTGACAGATATACATACATATATTTCTAGGAACAAAATATTTACTTACAGTTTAGAATAACATCCAGAATGTTCCTATAATTTAATCCATGTGTATTTTTTTAAAAACACAGCATGTTTAAATAATTAATTCTTTGTTAATGTCAAACTTGTTTGGCTCTGTACCCCAGTGTACGATAAAACTCATGTTGTGCAATGCCCAACAACTCATGTTTTATACCTTGTTGATTCTGAGATCTGTTCATAAATTATTGTTACCTTTGAGAAATTCTTGTTGTGTTTATAATACTGAAATTAACAAGGAATGAGGTACCCCCCTACTTGTGTGTACAATATGATGTTATATTTTTTAATACCCATTAAGGAAGCAGCTATTAAGTTGATCACTTAATTGTTAAGATTTTATGTCTATGCAGTAACTCCGCGCGCTGACTTATTAGCCAATGAAAATATTTTAAATCTAAAATTGCTCCCTCCGCCCCTTCTTAACCACTAAAATTTTACTTAATATGATCTAACTATTACTAAGGAAGAGCAATACGTGGGGAGCTTGCAATATTTTAAATCTAAAATTGCAAACATTTTGAAAAATAGTAATTGCTCGCTGTAAACTTTTTTTGTGGAAGGAAAGAACACACACAAAAATCTATCAGAAAGAAACTAATTCAATGTGAATCATTACAGTGACAATTTAGTTCATAGTGTCACTAAGAATCATCTGATTTGTATTCATGTGTGGCGGTCAGCCGGGTTCGATCGCCAGTGGCTGAACAGCTCAGTTAGTAGAGCACTTGACCGGAGATTCAGGGGGCCCGGGTTCAAATCCCAGTCTGGTCTGATGCATTTTTCTCCTCTCCCATTACACATGAATTCCCAGGCCTAATATACAAATTCCTAAAGACTTGAATTGTTATAATAAGTTTTCAGAGTTTGCATTTTAACTGTATGCCTTCACACATAAGGTTAAACACAAGGACATCTTCAACAAGTGACAACAGATAATCTGAAAAGTGGCATATGGCACTAAAACAGCGTGGCACGGGTGGAGGAGGGGGGCTTAGTGTGTGCAGTCCGTGAATTTTTTTGAATGTTGAGTCCATTTAATTGTTTCTATAATTAGCTTCAGAGGACCGGTTCCTGCTGGACCTGACCAGATCTCTCCTGCTAGACGTCAGCTGGTCAAGCAAGGGGAAGTATGGAACACTCCGAATACTGGCCGAGAATTTTAAAGTCTCAACACTACTTCAGCTCAGTCCAGACCTCGCACAGGACATTCTGAACAACCTTAAAGAACAGACTGTGGCTTGTTATGTAATTTCTTTTCACTATTTAACAAAACACAATGATATGGTATTTACATAATGTACATGATGGGAACACCTTGTCCATCTGCCTAAGATTCTCATCCAGTTCACAGCTTTATTCTAGAAATAAGTTGAAAGTACATACTTCATACAAAGATTGCTTTCTATGTGAAGATGTGTCTTGACCTAGTTTGAACCATGTCATTTTATCCAGTTCATACTAGTAGTCATTTATATAAGATGTTAAATTCCTGTCCTTATAATTTCTTGTCTGTAACTATTTTCCAGGCTAGTGATTTGTATGACAAGCTTTTAACTGAGCATCTCAAAGAAATTTCTAAACAAGACAGGAAGCAGTGGCAAAAGATTTGGGTGTGGCCCATGCTGCAGTGCATGATGGGAAACAACTCACAACAGAGAACATATGTCATTGAGGTGACAACTTTATACTGTAATTCTCAAATCCTTTTCTATTTCAGTTATCAATGTAATTGTTCCTCAGTGGGTGATTTGTTTCTGATTTACAGTATGTCCTCCCCAAACTTCTGAAAACAGGAAAAGACACCTTGGAGTACATGATTTCATCTCTGTGTAATGACAATCAGTCAGGTATCATTTACTGGGTATATAGGGACAATTACTGTTAATTCCAGATGCAAAACTAATATAGTGTGTATTCCTATAGGTCATTAGCTTTGAGTTGTTTACATTTTAGTAATGTATTATCTATATATGGATAATCAGGCATGTATCAGTTTATCAATGTTGCAGTTTCAGATGACCAGCTAGGTGCCCTAATCATGTGTTTGAGGAGAGCTCGAGTCATGGGGCTGTTAGACAATTCTACAACTGAGTCGTCACACTGTTTGTATGGAGTAGTGAAGATAGAACTTGTCAAACAAGCCCTTAGCCACACAGATGATCAGGTAAATTTTACAACAAACTTCTAGGCTAGCGATAAATCTAGTCCTTCGGCATTATAAATGTAGAAACCAAAAAATGGATACTGATTTATCAAACTCTTCAATTTAGTTCATGTATGCCGTCATTCGTAATATTTTTGAAATTTTTGTTTTTCTTTTAATTAAATTCAACACACTGTAAAAGTATTACATTTGGCAGTGTATTTTTTGTAGCGTTTTTTGGCGGAAAGAAACTTCCGCTAATTCAAGTACAATGCTAAATGTCTTTTAAAAACATACCAGGTATATACAGTTGTGTGCCAAAAGTGAAGATAATTTTATTTTTTCTTTATATATTTCATTGAAAACAATATTTTGTAAAATCGCTGGTATGACAACATTTCTTGACAGATTTTATCAAAAATTTCTTGATAATCCAAGAAATTGTTGTAGTTAAAAAAAACAATAATTTTTATCTGTTAAGCATTGATAATTTAAAAATATTGTAATTTAAGTGTGACATGATTTTTTAAGTCATATACTCACAATGAATTATATAGTCAACATTGATCTTGAATTTTAGAACTGATGTTTAGTGATGAACTATATTTTACTACATATTAAACGTGTAATGACCTTTTAAAGAAAGATAACTACACATTTTCTGGTTTAAGTACTGAAATAAAGAATTAAATTGGACAAAAATTGACCATTTACCTATGATTTTACAAAATGTTGTTTTCAATGAAATATATAGAGAAAAAATAAAATTATCTTCACTTTTGGCACGCCACTGTACATTAATAAAAACGTTAAGAAATGCACTAAATCAAATATACGCTAACTTGTTCAAAAATCAATTTCTGCCAAATATTGTACATGCTACATATAATACATTTACAGTAGTTATTGTGCCTGAAAAGTTTGGACCGAATCTATTTTGGGATAAAGAGAATATCAACAAAAAAAACATTAACCTGAGAGAGTCATGGGGACTAGATTAACGGCTTGCCACACTGTACCCTTAAGAAGAAATAAGAATAAGTGCTTGAAATGTTGAACATATGTAATTAATGTTCTTGTATTTAGGCTAGATTGGATGCATTTGCCTTACTCTGTGAAAACCACAAGACATCAGAACCAATCTACCAATCAGAGTTCAGATTACTGAAATACTTCATCCAGTGGAATATGAAGAATCAATCCCCATCCTTTAGACAACACATGGTGGCTCATGTTAAAAAGGTATCAAGGCTTGTACAGAAAATTTGACCTAACTAAATATATTTGTGTACTGAGGATGACCTTAGTTGAAAAACTTCAGCAGATATTTTACATGTACTTTGTAGCTGTTTATCAGATTTAAAGAGAGTGAAGGTGCATTGTGCAGGAAACTTCAGTCCAGAAAAACACATCCAGAAGTCAGCAGTATTTTGGTATCATATAAGGTATGATGATATTCTCTGTTAGTACATAAAATTCCTGGTGGTACCTTGTTACTTAGTTGTAACATTTATTTTACAGACCTTTGGTTCCTGGCTGTTCCAGTTCTTACTTCACTCCCTCTACCCGGGGTCAGCGTTTGCCAGACGTACCACAGCCCTATCTGTTCTGTCAATCATGGTTCATCTTCTCCAGCCTCCTAACAAGGGAGGTAAGTCTAGATTTGATCATTTTTCTATAACTTGAGGAAGCTGTAAACACTGTTAGCTGAAGAGTTCTATTTCAGAAAATTTAATTACGGTATGCAATATTTCATTACAGTTAAACCAATAAAACCCTGAAGAAAGAGGAACATAATTCTTTGAATTCGCCTGTTTGTTTTTAAGCAAGTATTCTAATTGAAAGGGTATATAAATGTTTTAAGGTTATATCATTTGGGAGGAGTGGAAAGGTTGTCACATCCAAACACTGATGGAATGTATGACGGACACATTTGAAGACAACAAGAAAGAGGCCTTCAATATACTGAAGCAATGCTTCAACCAGGGACTTCATCTCAAGGTATTTTAATTCAGACACAGATCTGCTGTACTGCGATATACAAAGTGCAGAATAAGAAACTTTATCAGAATTCAATCTACTCAAGATAAAGTACATTTCTTTTCAATGCATTGAATTGTAAACAGTTTGACATGGTCGTGTTTGATACATTTGTTTGTTTTGTTTCGAAGAAGCTGATCAATATGAATGAGTCTGAGCTGTTAGACATAGGTCTAGAATTAGCTGGCAGTAACCGCCCACAGGACTGTACCACAGGAGCCTACCTCCTACGAATCCTACTCCTACAGCCTAGGATTCAGGACTTCCTGCTCAGTTCCCAGGAGACCCTCACTAAGTACCTAACTCCTGCTGCCCTGACACAGTGGAAGGAGATACTGGACGGAACACAGAGTCTGAGCTCAGCTCTCCAGAAATTGTCCCTCCAAAATAGTAATTCATCAGGGGGGACTGTGCTGTTGCTGTGGATTTTGTTACTGTACTTAGAGGATCAGCTGAAGGTTGCCAAGACTGGATTGTTTATTGCAGCAGCAACAAAACCAATGTATCCCACATTACACTGCATCAGATACATCCTGTTTGATGTCAATCTGAAGTAAGACTTAATTTTATAGGTAGTCAAACACGCATATTTTTTAATCTCCATTGATAATATTGATTGATAATAGTATACACAGATTGTTCAATGATATTCAATTTTTGCTGTTTACATAAGATAACCAGCTACTGTTTTTCATAGGAAGACAAGACCTTGATGTTATGCTGGTGAAATTCTATTTCAGAAAGCTGACTACAGAGGAATTGTTGCTGTGGCATCCTCTGATGGAGAAGCTTCTGTCGTGTTGTCTGGAGATATCAGATATCGTTTCTCCTGTTGTACAGAATAGCTCACCTGAGGGGAACGTCCCTGAGGAAGCCATCAAAGGTAAGATGTCACAAATGTCTCATTTCTGATTTATGGTTTGCTTTGTGTAATCTCATTTCAAAGGTTTTGAGAAAGTTTTTATCTTATTCTGCTGATATCTTGCCTTGTTTCTTCAATTAAAGTCTTCTATGTCAGATATTGTTTAGAATTTATCTGATAGGCCAAGATTTCTACAAGAGACAGCTTTAGTCTTGAAGTCACTAGCTTATATGGTCTTGAGATTAAGCCTATAAATAATCACATGCTGTGGAGCCATGTATCACTTTTGTTGTAATTTATTAAATTTATATTTAGGTGTAGAGTCCATCTTTGCCAAGGAGGGAAAGCTGGGTAGCTCTGAAGCCGAGCGCTGTGTGGAGACTGTCACACTGATGCCAGAGTACCTCGTCGTCTGTTGTTGGAGGAATGTCAAGGAAGTGTCATTGTTACTGGGACAGCTGACATTTGATGCTCCAATAACATCACCACAGACTTCAGTCATAGGACTTCTCACTGTTCAGCAGGTACTACTAAGCAGAAAGAGATACAAGGGGTTTGTGTATTGTGTAATGCAGTGAGAAACAAGTGGTTAAAGTAGATTAAGGGCAAAAAGAAGAGGAGGGGAAAATCTTACTGACAAATAATAATTTTTTTTTAAAATCAATTCTCTTCATAACGTGCACACTGTATGGAGCTAGTGTTATCATTAAGAAAAGGAGTTTACTATACAAGTATGGAAATAGAGATTTTCCAGAAGGAAAATATTACAATTTTTGTATTGATCAATGCTGAGAACAGAATTTGTAACTCAATTACTTCAGGCAGTACAGTAGCTACAATTATGTTAAAGCTACAGAAGTGAACAATGGTAAGAGGAGGGCACTTGTAGATTCTGAGGACAGTCAATGTCAGTTATGTAGTAATTATTTTACACTACTTCTATGTCCTTGATTAAATTTCTTTAATTTTTACAGAATAAGGTCATTGGAGAGTATTTCAAAAAGCAGTTAATGGAGTCTATACACAGGGGAGCATTTGAGTTGGCATGTGCTGGGTTTGTCAAACAGTGTGAAATGCTGTGGAGGTAAAATTACTTTCCATAGGAGTCATCAGTTTTCACCAATTTTTTAATTACTATAGATCTTATCATTAAAAGAATTAGTGTACATTTTTCTTTGACTTCTTCATTGATAAAAATATCCATATATGTTTGACTAGATGTAACATTAAGACCCTCCACCAGTTACCCAAGCTCTGGTTAGAACAAGTGATGGCTGACATTAAAAATGATGATGAGAATAACAAGCTGTGTGCTACCAGAAGAAGTGCAGGCATCCCATTCTTTGTACAGGTAGAATTTACTGCAGCAAGTCTCTCCTACCTCATATTTCAGACCATGTCTATAATGATGGACCAATATACAACTAATTTACTGAAGATCATTGTGTAGCCTTTTAATATTATTTTCAACTGTCTTTATGCAGATTTTGTTTTTAATGTGCGTTGCTATACACTTTGCATAGTTACTGAAACAGCTATACCTTTTCTCCAGACTTTAGTTAGTACAGAACCCAACAGTACTGGGCGGCCATGTTTTAAGCTGACCATGAGGGAACTGCTACAACTGGCTCTAAAGGAGGACACTAAAGAATTGTCTAATTCCAAGGTTTGTAACATATAAAGGCATTTTATGAAGCTGATCTTGGAACAATTAAAATGTTTTGATGAGAATCCTCTCTTAAGGGGGCCAACTGTGGTTTATTGTATGAAAACTACAATAGCAAAACTCTTTATTTTTATACCATTTATAACTTACATTGACTTAAGTGCACATGCCAAGTTTGAAGAAAATTAGCCCAGGTATTTTTGTATAATAATGTATCAAAATACATACATTTACTGGAGATTATATGTGTAACTTAAAAGCAAATTATACAAATACTACAATAGACTTGCTCAAACTATAATATATGATGAATAATACTATATTGTACATTATGTGTAAGAAACACAAAATTCTATCAGCTTGTTTCCAGAGGGGGCATCTCAAAATGCCAAAAATTAACGAATTCTCCTGACTTTACAGAGTACCGTAAAATATGACGGAAACAAATGTTTTATACAAAAAATTGTAAAAGTGTTCGACAGATTCTAACATTTTTGTGTTTTAAATTTCAGGAGCATATGTTTATTACTTTTTCTTTAATAATATTTTTATTACCCCTTCTTTAAGAACTTCACGGTATCATAGCGTCCAAAACGGACCATTACAATGTTAATCTACCTATCAGTTGAAAAATCAGTTATATAAAATTTTCATTAAATTTTTTAGCCTGATTTTTTTTAATTTTGTTAAATTCGTTTTAATTAAGTGAAAAAATTCCTTAAAAAATTAAATGCATTTTTTGATGGTTTAATGGCAGTTGGCCCTCTCTGAAGACATAAGGCAGAAAAAGGAAGCATAATTTGATAAATTTGATAAATCTGAAATTATACTTTTGATCGGGATGTTGTCTTAGGAAAAAATAAAATACTAATACATGTATCTAAATAGAAACTGCTTCTCTTTTATGCTAGGTCCATGCCCTTAACATCCTGAGAGCTCTGTACAAGGACTCCAGACTGGGGGAGGTGGTCACCACTTTTGTTGCTGATGGATTGAGGGCAGCCATTTTGGGATTTCAGTCGCCATTTTGGGCTGTAAGTGTGTGTTTTCATATAAACAGTTTTGATATAAGCTGTGTTTTAATTATTTTAGATCAATTCAGTTTTCCCATTCTGTGAATACTCTGCTCTTCCTCAAACTGGCAGGGTAAATAAGCTTAGATTTAATGCATAGTTTTGAATATGTAGGTGAGGAATTCCTCCACTCTTTTACTGAGCACTATGATGACCAGAATTTTTGGAGTTAAAAGAAGCAAAGATGAGTCAAATATGTCAAAGAAAAACTGGTAAGTCAAGGATATAACTCAAACTTTACTGGATATCTAGGCTCTACAACTGGTAAAAAGATTGTCAGTATAAATCATCAATTGTTTCAATATATTTACAGCCAGACAGGCCGTCAGTTTTTCCATCAATATCCAGTTCTTTACCCATTCCTTCTGAACCAGTTAGAAATAGCAACTAGAAATATAAGGTACTTGTTTAGATATTTTGTAGTCGAGATCTACCACACATTTATTCTGTAGATCACATTTTATTCCTAAGAATAAATAATACATGTAATTGGAGAATATATGTACAAAAGAGGACTCAAGAATAAAGAATCCTTGTGAATCTAAATATATACTACCTGTATGTAATTTCCGGTACATTACCACGTAATAAATTTGTGATTGTTCTTAAAAAAAGGAGTCAGTAGACTTTATTGACTAATTGTCTAACTGTTAAAGTGATACAGACCAGCTCCACCTCCACCCTGGGCTGTACCCCGTAAATGAAATCAGTCACCACTAGTACTTCTCTCAACCTGGCAGCGTTTATCCCTTATGTAATTAGGTATGTCGAGATATGAAACTATTTGTCAGTTAAGGTAGGATTCTTCTCTGGTTTCTGACTAGATGAAACATTCAAAGTATATTTGCTTATATGTCTTATATATTGAGGTGTGAATTTGTATTTTTCTCCTCATCACAACTGTACAACTTTAAATAGAAATGGTAAACTGCTTTTGAAAACTAGCAGGGACTATATTGTTGGCGGAACTTGAAAATATCTTCTTTTTGCCTCTCAAAATTATAATAGAAAAATGAATTTAGTTATTATTTTTACACAATCAAAGACTTGGAGAAATTTTCAAATGTAAGTTAAATTAATAATGAGGGACTAAACTTTCAAAATATATCAAATAAATATGATTTTTCAAATAAACTAGAACTTTGTTAGCTTTTAAACACTTCCTATCAAAGTGCAGATTTGAGCCAAAAACCTTAAAAAGTATTTTCTCTCTCTTAGTAAACGATCAAAACTTTTTGTTTTTGTATCATTTTGTACATTTATAAGACTACTTTATTATATGTGAAAATAAGAAAAAGTTAAATATAGGAAGCATATGAAAATGACTAATATATCCTAAAAAATTAAGAAAAACAGAGAAAATTTGGATTAGCCAATATCCAGTTAAGTTAAATTATTCATGTAAATTTGGTAATATCATGCTATAGACCCAATATAGTAATATGTTTTTATGCAAAAAGAACAATCATTAAACTTTTGAAATAGAAGTAGGTATCACATGATTGGCAACAGTTATTTTTTATTCTTAATGTCAAGGAAAAAGATCATGACCTTGACCTGACCTTGCCTCTAATATAAAACGGTCAAATTTAATTTCACTGATACTATCACTTACTGATATTGTCTACTTGATTCTGTGAAAATTTCATTAATTTTTAGCTTAGGTATTATGCGAGAGTAAGTCGTCCGTCCGTCTGTCTGTCTGTCTGTCTGTCTGTCCGTCTGTCTGTCTGTCTGTAAACAATTTTTCAAAATGCTATAGTTTTAGTCTGATTTCAATATAACTTGGCACACAAGTAGACTACACTAAATACATAATTCTGTATATCGGTTTTTGATTTCGATGAACGGTGTTGCCGTGGTTACTAAAAATAGAAATTTCTGTGAAATTCTTTCAAAATGCTACTCCTCCTACAGTTTTAGTCTGATTTCAATATAACTTGGCACACAAGTAGACTACACTAAGATACATAATTCTATTTATCGGTTTTTGATTTCGATGAACGGTGTTGCCGTGGTTACTAAAAATAGAAATTTCTGTGAAATTCTTTCAAAATGCTACTCCTTCTACAGTTTTGGTCTGATTTCAATATAACTTGGCACACAAGTAGACTACACTAAGATACATAATTCTGTGTATCGGTTTTTTATTTCGATGAAGCCTAAAAATAGAAATTTCTGTGAAATTCTTTCAAAATGCTACACCTCCCATAGTTTTAGTCTGATTTCAATATAACTTGGCACACAAGTAGACTACACTAAGATACACAATTCTGTGTATCAGTTTTTGATTTCGATGAACGGTGTTGCCGTGGTTACTAAAAATAGAAATTTCTGTGAAATTCTCTCAAAATGCTACTCCTTCTACAGTTTTAGTCTGATTTCAATATAACTTGGCACACAAGTAGACTACACTAAGATACACAATTCTGTGTATCAGTTTTTGATTTCGATGAACGATGTGTGGTTACTAAAAATAGAAATTTCTGTGAAATTCTCTCAAAATGCTACTCCTTCTACAGTTTTAGTCTGATTTCAATATAACTTGGCACACAAGTAGACTACAGTAAGATACATAATTCTATATATCGGTTTTTGATTTCGATGAACGGTGTTGCCGTGGTTACTAAAAATAGAAATTTCTGTGAAATTCTTTCAAAATGCTACTCCAAATACAATTTTAGTCTGATTATAATATAAATGTTGCATGCAAGTAGACTGCATTTTAAAGAGACTTAATATCATTAAATTTTTGAAAAGTTTCAATTTCCAACTGCTTAAGTACTTTTCTCTTCCTTTCCTATAAGTACAAACCAGTAGAGCTTCAGTCTCGACAGAGACTTCTGGTTAAATATTAGAAATATGAGAAGAATCCTACCTTATTAGCTGAAACAGGAACAATGACAAGATTTTGTGCAATAATGAGTCTAAAACTTAATCTTTTACATATTAATTTATTTTCTTTTAATGAATTAGTAAGAATGGAGATGTAGTTCTAGTCCTGTAAATAGCCTTACAGCCATTAGTGCAGAAAGGTCACCTATGTTCTGTGATGTCTCAGCTGTTGAACTTGATCCCTGGATCTCAAGAAGAGGCTAGGCACAGCCATATACACGGGGCTTTGGTAGAGGTGTGTACTTAGAGTGTTGCTGCTTCTGCATAAAAACTTTATCTCCAAAATTTGAAAGTCGTATAGCAAACAATTGCTTCCATGATTAGGATGTGTCATTTTCACTTTATCAAATTTTAAGAATTTCACTGGTTAGGGTTCAGTTTTATACCCCTTGATAGACCAAAATTGTGACATTCCTAGAGAGTTGAATCCTATGGGCTGTATTGATCTTGTGGCAGAGATCTATTAATGATGTAAATATACATGCATACGCTTTTGATGATTTAAACAATGAGTCCTCTACCAAAATTAGGTCTTTATTATATTTTATCACTCAATTTTAATTTACTCGAATCTTGTCTCATGATCCAACAGACCACAGATATATTTTCTTTAATACACAGAAACATGACGTTATTTTTCTTGCGCATTAAAAAGTCCCTTGTTATTATGCGTTGTTTTATGGATTAAAATTATGCAATCGATCTTTAAAGTTTTATTTTGCTATATTTAGCTAGTTATAAGGGGGCGTATAATAAATTTATCATTATGCTTGAGAACCAAGATTTCAATTTTATATGGCCTTAGGTGTTATAATAATATATATGTATTATAAGTTTCAGAGTAAAGTTTACACTTTTATATGTTGAGATAAATTGAAAATGAGACATTGGGAGAGGGCTAATGTATACGGATTTGTCTTGTATAAGTTGCAGCATGATACTCAGGTGAATAATGAAGCCTTCATTTCTTTAATAGATTTCAAATCTGCTTGACATGGTATTAACAATGCCTGGTGGAATAAACTGCTCAGAGTCTGGATTGTCTTTATGGAAAGAAAAAATGTGGCTGCTCAGCAGGTAGGCTATAAGATTTAGGATTTATCAAAAGTGTAAGTAGAGATCCGATACTGGGACAATGTTCTATTCATTGTAGTCTAATCTCTTTTACCGTATATTGTTTTTTAACACTGCATCAGCAAGTAGTCTAATGAAGAGATACAGTTTAACCTCATTATCTCAAACTGTAAGGAACTGAGGAAAAGCAAGAGAAATCTGAAGATCTGAGATATCTAGGTTGAAATACAGAAAGAAAAAGTGATTGGGACTTTGACATGGTAGTTGAGATCAGTGTTCATGATACTGAAGTTCTACTGTACGTGTAATTTATGAAATTTTCAGAAGCAAAAAGCCTGAGAAAATTTGACTGGTTTTAATTTTTTTGATTGATAAAAACACAGGGAAAAATCATTTGAAGTAAATATGAAATACTTTAATTAGATAAAGGAATGAACTTTTTATTTTACAGACAAAATCCATGTTACATAACAAAACAAGCAGCCTTTGAGGTGTCAGAGAAAGTCCTGTTAGTTCTGAGGCAGTTTCCAGAGCAAAAGATTCAGGAAGTCACCACAGACATTAGTAACAAGCTGTGTGGAGCCTTATCAGAAGAATTTCTATCAGGAATATACAATAAAAAAGAGTTGTGTTCCAGTCCAGGATTTATAGAGTACCTCACTGTGATTGCAAAAATGGACCTCCAATTAACACTCAGAAACTGCACGTCGTCAGCTGAAATTCTGAGTAAATTCCAGACATTGTTAGCCTCTGAACTGTACGAGGTTAGACTGGTGGTGCTGGATATTCTGATATCCTTGTTCCGAGAGGAGGAGCCCGTGAAGCAGGTGCTCTCCCACTGCCTGTCATCTGTTGCCACAGAGAGTTTGATGTCATTACTGCCTTTTCTGTATCACATGGCTTTGTACAAGGAGCAGCACTTTGAATGTCAAATTAAGGTAGGAGTAGGATTTGGGAGTAATTTCTCAATGATATTTTAAAAGAGTAGACCACAGAATGAACTTGATGATACAGACTTCAAATGTAAACCTACACTTGATTAATACACAGATGAACTTTAGATGAAATGAAGACAAGAGTAAATTTATTTAGCATTAATAAGTATCAGATGAAAGATTTAATGAAATGATATTTTTGACTTTTCAGGTATTTGAGGCTCTAGATTTACATCCCTTGTTGAAAAAAAAAGATTGGAAAGATATAAGCATCAAGGAAAATTCAAGACAGGTATTCTTAATCTTTATATACACCAAATATTTATTGACATCAAACATAATCAGAAACTGACTTATTTTGGTAAGAGAAATATGTCTTGTCAGTGGTTTACAATTGTCAAATTCTACCATCACAAAGAAAATTCACAATCTTAAATCAGTTTTCACACCATATCATGAATTAAAATGATTTCCCAGTAGTTTATGAAAGATTTTAAAAAGTTTGCCTTTTCCTGGGTCAATGCCTGTATAACTAGAAAAGATTGTGATAATTCACTGATGTACCTTAAGCAGTTTTAATTTGATGGTACCCATCCACAAACTTTTTGATAATACCTATTATTTATCCTTGTACATTTACATGTATTCATCACAATTTTTTCATTTCTTAAGGTCTTAAAGCAATGCTTGACTGTGATAGAATCATCTTCGAGGTATGAATGATATTATTTCTATTATTCACATTTAAAGATTTTTATGCCCCCCTTCAAAGAAGGGAGGGCATCTTGCTTTGCTCTTGTCTGTCGGTCCACTTAGTTTCCATTCATTTTCTTAACAACCGATGCATGTACTAAAATGAGATTTAGTATGCAGACATATCAGATGAATATCCAGGTCAAGTTCTGTTTTGGGTACAATTGGGCCATTTTTGACAGAGTTATGCCCCTTGGACTTAGAAAAATTTCACTTATTTGCAGTTTCCGTTCATTTTCTTCGCAGAGGTTGCACATACTGAAATGAAATTTAGTATACAGATTTATCAGATAATATCTAGGTCAAGTTCTGTTTTGTGTACGATAACGCCATTTTTGACAGAGTTATGCCCCTTGGAAAAATCCCAATTTGGGGGGAGGGGGGGGGGACATAAGTGTTTTACAAACATCTGTTGTTTTTTTGAAGTTAATTCAATTTATTGGAAGAAAAGTTCATGTTGTTCATTTTTTGAATTATGAAGGAAAGAAATGTTAGAATAAATTTTCATCCATATAAGGAATTTCTGTTAACTAGGGATGAAGTAAAGGCAGCTGTGATACGATTTACTCGTTGGATAATAGCAGATGTTTTAAAAAACTGGGTAAGGAAAATGTGTTTCTAGAATGTAGTTTGATGATAAGCAACATTCACATCTTGCAAATTTTCATGTCATAATTTTCAATACATATTGTGTATATGGTTCAGATACTCTTTTGTGAGATGTTTGAAGACTCCTGTGTTGTTTACAGACAGAAGACTGCATGGAACCTGTGGATTCCTGGATGGCCATTCTCAGAGATAGTGTAGGAGCAGAGAAAATCACTGACCTTCAACTCGCAGTTGTCATGGTGATTCAGTGTAATGCCCTCTGTCTCCTCAGAAACTCTCATTCCTTTCTAGGTATGCCCCCGTACATCATATCTTGAACATTTTAATGTGTAAATAAATGTAATAGAGATACTGTTGTGTTAAAATTAGGGGATCCTTTTAAAAATATTTTTTAATTTACCTCAGGAACTAAGAGAATGTTTGAGTTCTGGGAAATGTTGACCAGCTTACAACAGGAGGATGACCCTGAGGTCAGAGAGGTCATCAGCAAGACACTGCAGCTTCTGGGAAATGACAGAGGTTAAAAATCAGTTAATAGTCACTAATGATAAAGCAGACAAGTCATAACCTTTTGAAATATATGTGCATTTAATTGAAACAGGTAATTCTGATTTATTCCACATGCTTCAAAGAACTAAGTTTGGAGTAACGTTCTGCGTTACATGAAAAGAAGTTTATTTATACTGAATTACATATTGTTTTTTATCATTTCAAAAAAAATTAAAAAGAGGTAGCAAGTAAAAATATGATACAATGTGTAGAGCTCTCCTTTTGATTTTTTAGCTGTCCAGCCTTCGTTGACCTTAGATTACTTGGTGAGGTCCTTTGTGGACATCCATGCTGGAACCAAGGGAGTTAACTGCTTCTTAACTCTGATATCATGGATCATTAACAATGAATCCTCAAGTGTATGTATTAAACTTTACTTCTTTTTTGCTTTATCTACAAGGTTTAGCCTAAAAGTAATGTCACAACTGTTAAAAAAAATTAATAATTGAATGTCATCAACAAACTCACATCACAAAACCAAAAATTTTGTTATTGCTAAAGATCTTCTTGCACTTGAAAGCCCTAAGCAACAGCATGTCAAGTGTATATTCAATCTAGACAAGGACTTCAAAGTTATGGCTGGGGGGTATAACATATCATTGCTCAGTGATATTGTTAAACTTTTTCAGTTATTGTTCTCCTGGGGAAGATGATGTATGTAAGCTTAATAAAAGTAGAGCACAAAGTCCTCCAAATGGAGGGCCCTAATTTCCTAATAAAGACATCCAAAATACTTGTGTTCACCAAAATACTGCAGTAGTAATCAAGACACTCCACCATGGGTTTACAAAGATCAAGGCCATGGTGTTGACTACTTGTAATGAAATGCAATAATATACTGTTACTGAAGATAGTTTGAGTCATAGCAGTGTACTTTATCAGTTTATGTTAGGTGTGAATGTCAATATCATATCATGAATCAATTTATTGTGTTATTGATTGGTTAAGACCTACTTTAAAGGGAACTCGGTTAATTTTAAATTCATGCTGAATTTTAAAACTGATATATATGTATTATAATTTCATGAATCAGTTTATGGTCTTATTGATCACTGAAGACCTACTGTAGAGTGAACTCATTTTATTTTCAGTTATTCTGGCTTTTGAAACTGATACCTTTTTAGCTCACCTGAACCCAAAAAGTATTTCTCTGTTATTTTCTGATGTTCCACCAGAACTCACTGGTCCCATATTTTAATTTAATCAGTTTTGGCCCAATACATCCTTGGTTGAGGGGAACTCAAGTTAGATCATAAACAACTATTCCTTTTATGGGGGGGGTTGAATTGATATGCAAGCCTACTTGTAATTCAGCAAGAAAAACAATGGTCAGGTCATTTAAAAGATTTATACAAGAAAAATACTTAAAAATCTAATTCTGGGAAAAGAATTCCTGATATTGTATATAATCAGTTCTACTTGTAATTTTGTTACAAGTTTCTTTTCAGTTCAAGATCATCTCTAAAGACGTTATGTGCTCTGATAGAGTCGCAGCTGAAAGTCATATTTTCATTGAATCATTACATAAGGAAAATACTTTAAAATCTAATTCTGAGGAAAAGAATAAACACGACTAGTCATTAGTATATAATCAGTTCTAAGTAGTGTAGAAACTAGTTTGTTGAAATCATAGTCCCTGGAGCTCTGGGCTTTTCAAGTTCAAAGTTCTCAAAAGACGTGTGTTTGTCTGTGACAAATTTTCATCGCAGTTTTCTCAGCAACTACTCTTCACACGTGCTTGACATCTTGAAATTTTAGCACAGTCTTAGTTATTTCTGTGTGTCTTCCCATTACTGACATGACAGCATATATTCAAATCAAAGTGGGGGTATTGACATTTTGAGTATTTTTTGTATTTCTCGAGATTTCTTTTTATTCAATTTTTTAAAAAGTCACCAAATTCTCTCAAGCAAAGCAGGAATTAATCACCAATTTTATTTTTCAAACCCCGGTAGTCATATAAACAGACACTAGGAGATAGATACTGGAAGGTGCCACAATAGTGGGTCAAACTTCTATCTGGAAATTCATGTTAAAAATATTAATGTTTAGACAAAATTCTTTGGAAAGCTTTTTCTATGGAATAGCTGATCTTATCTACATGTGCACATGGGAGAGAGTGGTTACTAGGGTGAGCACTTTCTATTACTAATAATTTTTTTCTTTTTCAGGAGGGAGCAGAGAGGCTGTTTGACAAAAGTGAAATGAATGTCTTTAGAGAGGATGTTTTATTTTACCAAATTCTACTGAAGTACTGTCTTGGTATGGCTCAGGTTAGCAGACCTCATTCAAAAAAGGGAGACAACTCAAAAACTCACAGTGATACAGATGAACAGGTCGACACCATTGGAAATGGTGATGTGAGGAGGGAATTGGAGGTCGCAGATGTTTTATCACAGCTTTCTCTAGTAGCTGATGAAAACTTTTCTCTGAACTCAGAAACAATGTTACCATTATCAGAATCCAGTATTTTGGAAATATTACAGACAATAAGGTCTTTTCTGAAGAAAAAGTCACCATTGACAGTTGCAAACGAGAAAAGGAATCCATTCCTAAAAACTAATGCATTTCAAGAAATTCTTTTGGATCAATACAAATGCAGATTGTTGGGTTTTATTTATAAAATCCTCAGTGATAAATGTGAACATTCAGATGGTGAACAAATAATGCACACATTCATGGAATCAGAGGATGAAATGAATAATTCAACCTATCCAAATTGTTTTGTATCAAGTTGATATCCAGCAGCAATAGATTTCTTTATAACAATGCTTATTGTAATATATATGTCTTTCTAATGTAACATGCGGAAAGGAAAATAAACAGGTTTTAAAAAATATTTTAACGCAAACTGTAGGTTTATCGAGTTTATAACCATGGTAAATGGTAAATATTAATATGCACTAAAGGGCAGTGAACTCGCTCTGAGACTTGGATGTCTTTTGTTCTGTCTATCTGACAGAGTTAGAGTTATCTCTCTTGGGATGCTTTACAATCCAAATCTTGAGTCCACAGATGTCGATTAATCTATTAAAACGAATAAAAAGTTTGATATCATGTTTCGTAATGCCTGTAGATTTTTATAGATTGAATTTCATAACAGATTTACGAATTGATGGGTTCAAGGCAAGGTTCCCTTTTATAAATAAACAGGGCTGAGCTGTCCCCACATGTTTCTGAAACCAGAGAGGTGTGTTTTCTTCAATGGTCGTATTCCATGGGGAAGGAAATATGAACCAAATATGATTAGCGATTATAAACAGAACCTTGCGCTCAATGACATTTGTTCCTTTTTATATAGCGGAGCAAAAAGTATGCGATCATCGACAGTGCATCTTTTAGCGTAGAGTGTTTGTTCAAAGGGAATTCACACGTAACTTTGTGTCCGCCCGACCGATATATGATGTAAAACAGCTTGATCTGAATAAAACTTTATATTTTTTTGTTTAATATAGCAGTAAATGTTGCATATAGGTAACTTTTATTTTATCTTGTAAAAGCATGCATCGTCTTTAGCACTGATATAAATCTCGTTCATTTTTGTACGTCGTGTGCCGATAGATTGTTGTATTCCTTAAATATTAAATTTAAAACTGAAATTTTTTATTTAAATATTGAATTAAAGAAAAATGTACCTAATCTATGAACCATCAGTGATGAACATATTGATATGTAAAGCACTATCATAAGTAATAATAATTCTTTCTATGCATCTTTTGCAAAATCGTAAATTTAATAGTAATAACTTTTCGTTCCCACACATGAAATCCATCAATTTCCAGTGCTATTTTTCACAGTTATCTTAATTGTTTTGTTGTCAAAATATACATTTTACAGTTGTATATTGTATTGTAAATAGCTGTGTGTGAATCTGTATATTTCACAGTTCACACTGTATTAGTGTGAATCACACCGTCTTTGATAGTCAGCATCCAGTGATGAAGACAATCAAAAACATGCTTAAAATGATAGATCCCTGCTGCTGGAGATTTCGGGAATCCCCTTCCTTTAATTACCCGTAATTATACTTTTTGACGGTTTCTTTGCCTGTTTTTGCTGTGGTTTTGCACATTTCACTTTTTGGCGTTTATTTTCTCTGACAGTGCGATACTCCATTCTAACAATTGATATTTTAATGATGTTTATATTTATTTGATTAATACACATCTGGCTGCTTTGATTAGATCTATACAGAAATCCATTACTCATTACAGTTAAATCTGTGAATTCTTGTTCAGTTAACTACCTTCAAGACGAGAGCGATTGTTAAACAAAAAGTGCTAAATGATGAAGATTTTTACAGCATTTTTAACATCTGTTGGTTAGTAAATTATTGAGTCTGTGCTTTATGGTTTAATCATAAATGACAAAAAGCTCAAGATAATTTTACACGAAGAAATGAAATGTTATAAGTTTATCAAAAAAGAAGTTTGTTGTAATGCCTTTTGACTAAGTTCCGTAAGGTATTGCCTTTGAATTTACCGATATTTCCAATAGGAAAATCATTTTTCCATATACTGTATTGGAAACTAGCAGTGAACTTACGAAAAATACCACTTGCTGACCATTTCACGCAGGCCCATGGGCCTTGATGTTCACCTGAGTAATCAAGAGTGTATCCAACAAGCAAGTACCCTGTCATGTGCAGGGTCCAATTGTTGCTCTCGCACAAACGTCGACCCAATAACTAACTTTTTGAAAACAAAGAATGTCTTATCTTCCTCTACTTCTAAATTATAGCCCAATAAAAAAAAGCATTTCAGTTTTTTCCCTTGCAGAGACGTTAATTTTCTCCATATGGCTTTGAATCATTCTTGCGACAGACCCTTGAGTCATAAACATTTATTCACGTAGTTTGAGCCTCAAATGTTTCTCCGTGTCTCAGTCAAATTTGTGAAAAGCCGACTGGTGAGTAATATAATTATAATTTTTAGGACTTAAATTTTATTTGCAGAATGTATGAACAAATTCCACAAAATGATAGAAAACTTCTGGGAGAGAAAGATTACATGTATTTTAGAAAACAGTTGGGGGCAAGTTAGCCCACCACTGGGTCTGACCATTTTGATAGGGCTTGGGTATATACATGTATACTAGTATCACAACTCTGGTAAAGGGCACATTGCTTATAATAAATCAGAGGTCATGAATAAAATACATGTAGTAATATTAACGATAGCAAATTATTTTCAGTACAATCATACACACAGCTTTTGTCCGCTAGGTTCTAAAAAAATGATTTTATTTTTCCTTTCTCTTATGATCAGGCTATCCTTGGTCGGTTAAATATAAGATCAGTTTTCACAATAGGAGAACAATGCATGCTGACTGCTCAATATAACCATGCAAACAGTAAGCTGAATTAGAATTTCAATGATATACATGCCAACCTTGGAACCGAGTCTTACACAATAAAATTGAGTTAGATACCTTAATGTGGTAAAATTAAGTACGGGGGTGTCCCGTATACGAAACAAGTACCTGTGGCTCTACTCCCGACTCTGAACCACACAGTCCTGTAGATAAGGAACTTGACAATCTGGGCAGGGGTCTTTCGTTACGTTTTCCTAAATTTGCAAAATTTACAACAAAAAAAAAACACTTTCAAAGATATCGGGCATTTCCAATATAAGAATGTGCAATAAAACGGCAAAATGGTGTTCTGTATGTAATTATTTGCATAATTGAATTGCTGCGACTGTGCACAGTGTTGTATCTAAACTAATCGTCCTCATATAAACAAGTTAAGTTTTTCTTTGTTTAAAGAAGGAGTTTAAAAGTTTAGGGGACACACCCACTCGACGACACAGAGAAGCAAGCAAAAGGTGATTTGATCCAAGACTTTAAAACTTTGAAAGAAATACCGGTATATACGTTATTATTATTTCACAAATGCATAGAAAGAGTGCATTTTTGGAACTTTTATATATAATTGTTTTGTTTGTTGACAACTTTTGAGGTGAGTAGCCTTGAAATAGGTATTGTCTTTGCAGCGTTTGTTTACGATCATGGAACCCGAGACCAAACATGGCACCAGGGGTAAGCTATCGACCGATTGGCATGGAAATTGATAGGGCAGGTTCTGACAGGTTCTGAAGTCCCTCCTGTTGCAAAAAAAGTAACTGACCGATGTTAATTTCCCTCATTAACGATTATCTGATTAGTGAGAAATAACTCTTATTATCCCAATCTAATTCTTTAGATGTTTTTGTTTATACTTATGTTTGACCTTTTCACTTCTTCGGATTCAACGCTTCAAAGAGAGTAATCTATCTGTAAAGTCTTAAGAATATAAACGTTAGTTTCCAGTCACTTTATCTTGCGAGTTTAAGTTGCATATATAACATATTAAGGCCGTTTTACTGTGCCCTCTTGCTAACGTTTTATTAGTTCATAAAGGATGGAGATATGCTTGTATATCCTCAACATATTGAGTCAATACCGCACATTATCAGGTTTCATGACCTTGAACATCGACTCTAGAAGAGGTCAAGGTCCCGACCTTGTCATTTAGAAAAGGTCAAGGTCGCAGAGACTAATTAGTCATGTAGTCATTGGCAATTGAAAATTGTTAATTGGTGAAAGACAAAATGATTAAAGATATTTCCTTGTGTTCTAATAAGAGTTCGTTTTTAACTGATTACCGACATGTGTTCTTCAGCATTTTCCATGCACGACAGTCACTTTGTATACTTGTTTTCGCTTTTAAAAAGAGACAAAATAAACACCACTGTCGTATAATTAACCTTTCACATAGCAAACTATCCTTCTGGACAGATTTCCTTTTATCAAATGAAATCTGCAACACGACCTCCTCGTCTTGGAGCAGATTCTTTTTTCCTTTGACAAAAGGAAATGAAATGCTAAAAGCGAAATAGAATAAAGTCTAGAGAAAATGAATAATAGAAATCGTAGTAGTTATTGTAAAATTAACACCCTTTTCCAAACTATCCGACAATAAGATTACATGTTGTTAGGATTTACTGCTCTGAGTATACGAGCACTTTTAAGCCGAGGCAGAATACTGACAGATAAGTTTATGTCACAGGGATTTCAACTACGTTGTTTAAAGTCATTGACCACTATATTTCATTATCCTTTGATTCTTTATAAAGATCCATTTTAGAATACTGGCCCTGATCTGTTTTCGTTCATATTGAGATGCCGCCACTCGAGGATGGAGGGCTGCAAATTAAGACCAAAACTGGACAATTGCATGACCTTTCAGTTGTGACCTCTTTCGCGCCAGCACAACCTCTGTGCCACGAGGAGCCTTTCAGTTTGTGAGGTAACTTTTATCATGAAGTTTCCAGGTACAATTGAATATCATGCTAAATATCACGGACCTGCCTCCTAAATGTCATAAATATTTTTGTATATTGACACTATGTGTTACCTATTTTTTTTAAAGTATAGGTTAAAAGTCAAATTCAAGGGTTACGAGATCGGTAACCATGATATTTTTCAAAAGTCAGTTGTTTCAGGCAAAATATGTACCAAATTTCAAATCTATTTATTTTACAATTCTCTGGATGTATTCCCAATTGAATATACAAATGTAATTGATTGATTTTATGTTGTTTCAAGCCCCATTTTAGAATTTTTCACTCATAGAGAGACGTCGATTTATGGTTTACTTTTCAAGAGAAATACTATAGTTAATCCTTTTCCACAGGGGAAGGGTGTCTATATATGTGGTACATCTTCCAAGGGGATGCTTTACCTCGGGAGAAATTTTGTCTGTGACATCTGATTGGATTGAACCCGTGAATACAGATCTATTTTAATTTCTTTTAAAGTACATACATGAAAATGCAGAAGA